TAAAGATGCCCAAATGCAGAATCATTCAACATCATTAGGCTTATTAATTGACTGCAGATATCGAGAGTGAACAATCCCTCTGCCAAGTGGGGACTAGTTCAGTGGCCTATTTCCATCACTCATTCAGCCAATTCATTAAAGCCTGTTTTTTCTCCTAGGTGCCTCCTAATGAGTTTCATTGTTTTGTTTATTGTGCTTGTTGGCTCACAGATCTCTTTCACATTTTTCCTTGGTTTCTGAATGCTCCTTAAGTACCAGTTTTGATCAGCCCATTTCCTGCTAGTGCTTTACCTGGTCTTGGATAAATGAAGTAAGTGGGAGAGTAAGAAGCGGCACGGTGATATGGGGAGGGGGAAAGGCCCGAGGGAATTCCACCAGATGCCTGTGTTCCTTGAAAGAACCAGCAGGTGGTAGCAACACGTCGTGGGAAGGCCCCAGCTTAGGGCTGTAGGACCGGAACAATAGACCCCAAATCCCGTCCTCGTTGGAGAAAAGGCTAGGGGTGGGCGGAAACGTTTTTCCTCGCGGCGGCCCCTCGGTTCCTCAAACCTTCCAGGTACCCGCTGAGTACCTCCCAACGCCTCAGATCCCTGTGTTCTCCCCGGGGAGTGGGCAGAGGGAGGAGGCACCCAGAGGTGCATGACTTGCCCGGGCAATGCAAAGCCAGGCACCTACATCTGGACTTCCCCGTTCAGACCCAGGCTTCCCAGCCCTTTGGGGAGGGTGGAGTCAGAAGCCCCAACGTTGACCAAGATCCAGGGTCACGAAGAGGCAGAAGAGTTTAAGGCTAGATCAGAGACACTTTCATAACCTAGATGCCCCCCCCTCCCTGCTGCTTACCCATCCCCACCCCACCCCCGTACCCTCTGAGATTTCTCAGTTTGTCTTTCCCTCCACCCCCTTCTTTTCCTTCTTTCTCTTCTTCACAGCTCACGCCCACCTTAGTTTAAACCTGAGTAAGAACTAAAACAGTGGGTTTAGTTCCTAGAGTTGAAGCAGAAAAGCAGGGGTGGGGAGAGGGCGCGGGTGTTCGGGCCGGCTGCTGCGCCGCACTGCCCTGCCCCGCCGTGCCCCGCCGTGCCCTGGGCATCGGCCGCCCGCCTGTGCGCTTTCCCTCCCGGGGAGCGGAGCCCGCGCCCGGCCCGGGGGTTTGAACGCCTCTCCCCGCCGCCCGGCAGCCCGCCCCCTCCAGGCCCCCTCGCGCGAGCCTCCCTCGGTGCCCGCCCCGCGCGGCCGGGAGGAGGAGGCGCCCCCGCCCCAGCGCACAGGCGGGCCCAGGGCGAGCCCCGCGCCTCCACCCCGCTCTCCTCCGCGCCGGGCGCCGCGCATCGCCGCCCAGGCCGGGAGGGCGGGCTCGGCTCCCCGGAAGAGGGGAGAGGGAGGGCGGCCGCAGGGGCCGGAGAGGGGCGGGCCGGGCTGGGAGGGACGCGGAGGGGGCGGGCCGGGCTGAGCTCGCCCCTGCCGCCGCTCCAGAGCCGAGCAGCGGGCGGCGGGACCCGCGACCGAGCGCGGCGACGGCGAGCGCGACGCGGGCCCCGCAGGATCCCCGGGAGCCCCGCCTCCAGAGCAGCCCCTGCTGCCAGCCACCGCCCCCCGGCCGCCCCGGAACCCCAGAGACGCGCCGCGGAGAGCGGACCCGGGTCGCGAGGAACTGGGTCCCCGCACCCGAGCGTAGACTCGGGCGGCGCGGCTCCATCGCGGGGCCTCGGGGGGGCGCAGACCTGCGGAGCCTGCGGCCGGCGGAAGGTGAGCCCCGGGGTGCCAGGCGGTGTTGGGGGTGTGGGGGGCGGTGTGCCTGGGGACAGAGGCATCAAGGTTTGCGAAAGTAGAGGGGCCCTCCAGACTGGGCCTCTGCAGATCCTTGGGGGCCTCCTGGGGTAGTACTGAGTATCCTTCCCCAAGGCGACGCTGGGTTCGTGAGGGGTGCGAAACTGGCCAACCTGGCTCCCCGACCTCTGGCCGGCCATCATTGACACCCCCATTACCCTTGCTGCTGCGATCCCCCACTGTGTCTCCAGAGACACTGCTCTTCTCTGGCTTGGGTGGGGGGTGTCCTGATATAGGGGTCCTTGCCAAGGCCGGACTCCCAGCGTTCTGAAAAGGATTGCCCACCCTTCTGACTCCAGTGGCATCTCTCCAATCCCCGCGGAGCTGGGAGGAGCAAGGAGGTTGATCCCACACCTGCCCCCAGCTCCCCCACCCCGGTTACCACCCATAAGCCTTAGAGTGGAGACAGGGCTTGGTTCATGCTCCCCAGCCATAACCCCCAAGTTGCAACCAAAGTCCGCTGCCTGCTGCTGCCCCAGCTCCACCCCCTCGCTTTACATCTGGGTGCTTGGCCCTACCTGCCCCACACCCCCATCCACCAATCTTGGCTGTCTGGCATCCTCTCTCCTCCCATCCCTGGGGGAGCTGGCTGGGGCCCAGCATAGCCGATGTTGTAATGTCCCTGGCAGTGCCCATGGAGAGAAGCAGCTGGGCCTGTTCCCAATAAGTTAACCAGGGCCAGGCCCTCTGCCCGCCAGGAGAACTTGACTCAGGTTCTAGAAGGAGAGATGCTGGTTGGGTGGGAAGGAGCTGTGACATTGTTGGCAGTGCAGGGAAATCTCCAGGTAATGGGGCGTTGCAGGATTGAGAGTTGTTGTCATTTGTTTGGTGCCGTTCAGAGGGGCCACTTGGTTCTCTCGGGGCGATGGACCTTTTTTCCTCGCAGGAAGATTAGGGTGGGGGGCTTCTGTGTAGCGACCTAGTGGCTGAGAGAGGAGGACTCCTTTGGTTGGTTCCTTTGGGGTGCAGAAAGAGGGCTGGCAGTGAGCACTGTGTCCCCAGCGTGCCTAGGAGCACGAGGCAGCAGGGGTCTGAGCATGGCAAGGGCAGGAACATTCCTCCTCAGGGCCAGCTGCTCTCCCAGCTCATCACCATCGCCCGAGCTGGGGGGGCCCTGAGTCCTGTGTCCCCACTGCACTGCCCACTAGCGGGAAGGGGGATGGTGGGGTTTGGGGGCTGGGGCAGCCTCGGGTTTCCCTTTCTCTACTTCCCTGTTCAGCTCCCTCTCCCTGCCCAGATGTTTCTGCAGCAGCAACTCCTGGGGCAGAGAGCAGTTGACAGACTGGCTACGGGGAGGGTAGGGACAGACCCGGAGTGAGGCGGAGGGCTCATGGGCGTCAGTCACCCGTATGAGGAGCACTCAGGGTCTGCTCTGGCGTGCACGCACACACACACACACACACACACACACACACACCCCTCCCAGCTTGCGTGCTGCTCCATACCCATCTCACCTCACGCACATTCCCTTACATACTCTCACACTTGCTCCCACGGGCACTGGTCCTGGCTCTTGGGGGCTTCTACAACCTTCCACTTACTCATCTCTCACGGACACGTACTGACTGTCCCAACACCCTCCCTCATGCCCTTTTCCAAAGCCACGCATATCCCCGGTCAGTGCACAGCGACAGCGGCTCATGCTAAGTGGCTGCCTGCCACTCCCAGATACTGCCTGCATCTTAAAAGCCTCCCCCAGCTCCACAGCCTGGGAGTGGGAGGCAGATTCGTCTGCATCTGCGTGCTCTGGGGGACATTCCTGGAGGCTGGAGGCCTCAAGGGACACAGGACTCTCCTCTGCTAGGTAATCCACAAATTGGCTTCTCAAACCAGGGCAGCAGGGGCCAGAAGCACCGGAGGACGGCCACCCCCTCACTGTCTGCTCTGGATGCCGCTGTAAGGGCTGATGGGAGCCTTTTCGAGCGGGGCGGACAGAGCTCCAAGAGACGGAGACCATCTCCAAGGTGGAGATTAAAGGGTAGCAGCATTAAGCTGAGCAAGGATTATACTGGAATTTCCTGGGCATTTAACAGCTGCAGAACAGGACAGAGGACAGGGCCCTTGGTGCTGACCCCTCCCACGCTGACCCTGTGGCTGACAGGTGTGAGGGCCAGCTCAGCAGCCACACCACCCGTTAACCATTGGCCCCTTTGCCCTTGGGACCTCCTTCGTCCCGCTGGGCCCTGCAGCCTGCTTCGCCTCTCTGAATGTTCCTGCCCGGGCTCACTTTGCAGTGATGCCCTCGTCATGTGTCCCCAGCCCCCCTGGTGCCCCTCGCCCCTTTAGAGCCGAAGTCCTTTGCTTGACGCTGAGTCAGAGAAGCATGATATCATCAGTGGGGCCATTTGAACTTCTTCAGAGAGAAGCTTAAAGAAAATCCAGGGATAAAAGTTATTTTGCTCATTCATTCCCAACTCCTACTGCCTCTGTATCTCCGCTTTCTCCTTATAGATAAAAATTTCTAGATTGTTTTGAAACCTAGAGAGAAAAGGGAGGGGAGGGTAAAATGTAAACATACGCTATGCTAGTCTAGGTTTTAAAAATATTTTCCCTTTTTTTTGTTTAGATGATAATTATGGGATTTTGTTTTAATTGTAAAAATAAGATATGCTGGTTGTAACAAGAAAACCCATTCAAACATATGTAAGACAAAATTAATAATCCCCCCTCTGCCAATCCTTCATTTCTGCCTCCTACAGTAACCAGTTTTAATGGCCAGTATATTTTCTGCCATACCTTCCTCCAAGCTTATTTGGCTTGTATTACTTAACTTTTTTAAAAACTCATTTTGTGGATTGAGGTGCATAAACTATTTTAAACCATCTCTGTTCATAAAATTGTCATATTTAGCATTTCAATTTGAGGACAGTTAATTTTTTAAATTCCTACAGATTTACTCATTTAATTTATTTTTAAATCTTTCATTCTTATAGATAACAGAACTCAGAAGCTATGATGTATAAGCTAAGAGTCTACACATCTTTAATCTTTGCCAGTTTCTGGAAACAAAACACAATTTTGATGCCTACGGACTGTCATATTTTTATAAACCAAAGAAATGTAGCAGGCTTGTGGATGCAGTGTCTCTACTGTAGCAAAAAGATGTAAAGTGATATATGTAGAAAAGAAGCTGAGAAAAAAAATGTGAAGTCATAGAATGCAATTTTTGTCATCTGAAATTTTGTCAAATCAGTCTTATTTTCTGAGCTACCATTTTCCATCCACATTTCTGCTGCTTCTGGTGTGTTATATTTTTAAAACCATATACACATCTGAAATTTGAATGTTTTCCTGATTGAAGTAAGTCTTCGGCTCTTCGTGGGTGAGAGGATTTCTAAACACTGACCAATGGCTTTCGCAGGCTAGAGAAGACAGAGGAATCTGAAGCAGGCCTGTCCCCCTCTGTGTTTCAGGAGGGACACATTGGCTGCTTCCAGGACGCGCTCCTAGACTAAGCTCAGACAGATGTCCTAGTCCTCAACCCTTGAAAGCACCTTTGAAAATCAAGTTCTAACTCCTGCTTGTTCAGTATTCCAGGCATGTGGATGGAGCTGCGTGTTCTTGTCACTTACATTTCTGCCTTTGAAACTTGTTTCCAAAAAATCTGCAGGAGTAGGAATTAGCTGACAGCAATTTCTTCCATATCTTAAAATTTCATCTTTTCTTGTTTTTATTCTTGTTGTAGAGGTACACCCGAGTTCTTTTCATATATATTAAAAAATAAAAGGCTTGAATTTATCTGTTTTGTTTGACAGGCAAGAATTGACCTCACTTCCTAGTCTCACTCAACCACAGTTGTTTTTGTTTTTTTTTTTTTTCCTGAAGGAATTTGTTTATAACCTTCAGTCTCTGGATCTAAATCTAAAAGCGTTCCCTTCAAACAGCAAGGAACACTTCTGGGCACTTGAAGAGCCTCAACTATTTTTTTAACTGAATATCTTGTTTCTTGGTACAAAAATTTTTACAATTATGAAAGTGGCAATCTACATGCAATGTCTCCACTTAATTCTTTTCTTTCTGATGCCTCTTGAGGACAGAAGCTGAGTGGCTTTAACATGTTTCGTAATTGCCTTTGCCCTTTTCTGGATCCTCTGGAGAGAGGCCAGCTTCATGTTGTCATTAAGATGCATGCTGAGGCTATGCATACACACCCTGCTGCAGCCACAAGCTACTGTGTTGCTTGTATTGTGGGTCATCAAAGCAAATACTTTGCCATTCCTCATCTTCTAGAATGTTCCATAGAGCACAGGGGATAGGATCTGCAGTACATATCTTCCCTCTTGGTTTGCTGTCTCTCAAAAAAAAAAAAAAAAATCATTGAGATGCATCCGAAGTGTTTATTATTCCTTCTCCATGATTATCTGTCTAGTTATAAGTTTAGGAAGATGCAGTGCTTACCGTCTCCTTTTTGTACAGATTCCAGAATCCATCCATCTTCTGACTGAAAGAGGCTATTTTAGAGCATATCTGCTGGGCAAATGATAGAATAGCTTTCATTGTTTAAAGACATTTTTCTGGCATTTTCAGTTCTTGATAACAGCATTCCTAAAGACCCTATGGCTCTTGGTGTGTCAAGCATGTCTCCAACGTAGGCCACTGAGCATTTGGGGGATGCATACAACACCTATGACTTCGGGATATTTATTAAACAGCCATTGGTGATGGGGCCATGCTTTGTTACTTCACAATCTCCCTGTCCTTCTTTGAATCATTTCATCTGTGAATGATTCTAGCAGCATTCGGGACAGTATTGCAAAGAACCTCTGTTACTTAGGAATCGTTTGCCATATAGAAATGCTTCCTTTTTTCTGGCCTTATGGAGATACAGTTGACATATAACATTGTGTAAGTTTAAGGTGGACAACCTGGTGATTTGGAAATGCTTCTTGCTTGCCTCCATACACTGTAAGTTAAACTCTGTCTCGCAAGTAGGGTTCTAATGGCATGAAAAGTGCATTTCAGTGGACAGTGGCCTGATGCCCATTATACATCAGCCCGCCAGCTGTAACATCAGTGCCTTTTCGTGATAACCACATACAGGTGACACCGAAGGCTTCATCTCGCAATAGAGCCTGTGTTACCGGGAAAAGTTAGATTAGCAGGAACCCAGTTATGATTTTCTGATTGATCAAAGTCAAATAGTGTCATAGTTTGGTTTCAGCTTCATCGAGAAGTGTGCAGTTTTCAGGAGTGCTGAGGGTCACGTGGCTACAGCTCTCATGGTGGAAACAGATTCCAGTTTCCAACTGCTGTCTTTCCTCTCTCTCTCTCTCTCTCTCTCTCTCTCAGGTTCATGACTTTGAACAACCTGCCTCTTATTTTCTTCTCAACAGAAATAAATGGAATGGACTGCTCTGGTCCATGGAACTTACAGACTTTTGAGACTCAGTCACAGGGGGAGAGATCAGCCACCACTAATCTCTAGACCGGTGAACAAAGGAAGGTCTGAGCCCATTTGTCTTCACTGTGGCCCTGGAAGCAGCCGTGCCCCCACAGTCATATGCCTGTGAGCCAGAGGGGGTGCTTGTATATGGATGGCCTTCTTAAATTAACCAGCGGGGACCATACTTGACACTGTTCTGCATGGACTACTTTTACTTGGGAAATCCTTTTCATAATCAGTGCATAAGCAGTAGCCCTCACTCTTTTTTAAGGTTGTGCCATAATTTATTAAATATCTTCCCTTTGACGGACAGTTGCTTTCCAGTCTTTTCCCTTACAAACAATTCTGCAGCAAATATCCTTGTTTGAACATCTCTGCAAACAGACCTAAGGATGCAGTACCTGAAAGACAAACTCTTAGAAGTGAAGCTACTAGACAGACATCAGCGACTGTCCCTCTAAGAAGATACACCAGTTTGAAACTCATAAGCCCCGTGAATAGAGAGCCCCCAGCTCTCATACCTTCTTCAACCCAGTGCATTATTAATCTCATAGGACAAGATGGCCCTGTCGTTTCCACATTCTGTCCTTTTATTGTGAGCAGACTAGAAGCATTTTTTCACATACATCCATTTATTTTTCTGTAAGCCATCGAGGAAATGTGCCCCTTGTGGAGAGAGGACCACTGCTGACAAAATGTAGGCATGCCAGACCCACGTAGCTCTACCCTTTCTCTCTGCTGGTGCACTTATCAGATGGATTCTTTGCGCCCATGTTCTTCTCACTCCGGTTCTCCCATCTTCCCTTGCGTCATACCCCACAGCTCTCTTCCGTGGTCCCTCTCACTCCACTGCTTCTCCGTATTGTCCAGCGTGTCCAGGTCTGAGGTGGGTCAGGAGGTGTTGGGGAGGGGGGGAACGTGTGTCCCCAGGGAAGGAGTAGCTTCTACTCTGCCTGTTTTAATGAGAAGAATCTTCTGACTTCCAATACAGAGTGGCTCTAGGAGGAGGAGGGAGAGTAAGTGGGGAGAAAGAACTGAAATAGCTCCTTCCAGAAGAAAAGGGTAAGATTGGCCCAGAACCCGCCTATGCTCTATGAGGGAGGGGCTGTAAGAAGTGCTCAGAGATGCAGCACCTGCAGGACGTAGGGACGGAGTGCCCTGGCACATGGCCCTCTAAGATGGTGGACTTGGCAGAGGTCAGGAGAAAGTCGGCTTCCGACAGGCCCTCACCGTGTGGTTGGTGGTTTGCGAGCTATCTGTGTAGCGGTGTAGTTACCTGCCACCCGCTTCTTCTGGTCCTGTGTGTCTCCCTAGGAAGCAAGCTTGGCTGCAGACCCCAGTCTTACAAAGCAGCAGCCCTGCCTGGGAGCAGGGTGGTGGCCAGGGCAATGGTGGGAGCCCCGAAGACGCCCCATGGCTGCTGAGGGGGCTGCCCGGTCAGGGAGCGGAGTGGCGGGCATGGTGTGCAGTCTCTGGGTCCTGGTGCTGGGGTCCTCAGTTCTGGCACTGGAAGGTAAGAGGGAGGGGAGACTGGAGAATCCCTAGCTGCCAGCACGGGTGGGGAATGGGAAAGACTCAGAAAAGGCAGAAAAGAGTGAAGACATCAAGAAGGGGAAAGGAATGGGGAGGGTTCCAGGGAAAGGCTCCTGACACAGAGCTGTGCCCCTGCTGGTGAATTAAAAGGACCAGGGAGGGAAAATTCCTGTTCTCCTCCTGGGGTGGGGTGAGGGTTAGCAGTCCTTGCTGGAGGCTTGGCTGCTGAGTGCCCCTTCTTATCTCTGGCCAGAGGTACTGCTGGACACCACTGGAGAGACATCGGAGATTGGCTGGCTCACCTACCCACCAGGTGGGGTGAGTGTCACTCTTTCATCCCCCACCCGGTGCACCTCCTCCACCTGGCTCCTTGTGTGGGATTTGGGAAGGAAGCCCCGGGTGGGGACGAATGGAGCAAGACTCCTTCCCCCAGAGGAGCAGGACTTTGGGGTCTACTTACCCGGTTTTGCCAGCTAGCAGGGTCTCCCCGCCCTCCCTGCAGTGGGATGAAGTGAGCGTTCTGGACGACCAGCGACGCCTGACTCGGACCTTCGAGGCATGCCACGTGGCAGGGGCCCCGCCAGGCACCGGGCAGGACAACTGGCTGCAGACACACTTTGTGGAGCGACGAGGCGCGCAGAGGGCACACATCCGACTGCACTTCTCCGTGCGGGCATGCGCCAGCCTGGGCGTGGCCGGCGGCACCTGCCGGGAGACCTTCACCCTTTACTACCGCCAGGCCGAGGAGCCCGATGGCCCCGACAGCATTTCCGCCTGGCACCTCAAACGCTGGACCAAGGTGGACACCATTGCAGCGGACGAGAGCTTCCCCGCCTCCTCGGCGTGGGCGGTGGACCCGCGCGGGGCCGGGCAGCAGCGCGCCGGGCTGCAGCTCAATGTCAAAGAGAGGAGCTTTGGCCCCCTCACCCAGCGTGGCTTCTACGTGGCCTTCCAGGACACGGGGGCCTGCCTGGCCCTCGTGGCGGTCAAGCTCTTCTCCTACACCTGCCCGTCCGTCCTCCGCGCCTTCGCCTCCTTCCCTGAGACGCAGGCCAGTGGGGCCGGGGGCGCCTCCCTGGTGGCAGCCGTGGGCACCTGTGTGGCTCACGCAGAGCCAGAGGAGGATGGAGGCGGGGGCCAGGCAGGGGGTAGCCCCCCCAGGCTGCACTGCAATGGGGAGGGCAAGTGGATGGTAGCGGTTGGCGGCTGCCGCTGCCAGCCAGGGCACCAGCCAGCCCGCGGAGACAAGGCCTGCCAAGGTGAGCTTCTGCTCCCGTGCACTTGCCCAAGACCTCCCCACCTGGCCCCCAACCTTGGGACACCTCTCCTGAACACTCCAAACTTCATTTTGTCCCCAAAAGGTCAGGAATAAGCTATTTTAGGAAAGGACTCTTGTTTTCTCCAGATTTATTTTCTAAAGCACACGAATTTGGTGTCATATGCTCATCTCAAATTTCTGGAACCTTCTGGAGACTTCCGCAGCCATTGCTGAGCATCCTAGGGCTGCAGGCCTGAGAAGTGATGGAGATCCAAAGGAGTTAAACTCCTCGGTTATTTTGGGATGGGTCCTCTGTCCCTATTTGCCATCTAGTTAGGAAGGGATCATCACTGTGCCAGGTGACGAGGATGTGGGTAGGAGCAGGCAGTGGAGACCAGCTAAGGGGAATCCTTCTGCTGCGGGGTGGAGGCTGCAGAAGGCCTCTGCACAGGGAAGTCATACAGTCAGGCCAGACGCCTCTATCTGGTGCTTGGCTTGCCCATAGCCCACTGCACCTCACTTTTTCCATCAGCAGAAATGCAGTTCTACCCCAGTAATCTCTGCCTGAGGGAAGGAAAGAGGGAAGAAGGGAAGAGAGGGGGTAGGTCCAGGACGATTGGAGAAAGAGCCCTGGGGAATGGAAGGCTGGGAGCAGGTGTGTGTGCAGGCGTGGTGGGGCTCAGGAGGCGGTGGATGGAGCGAGCCTAATGTCTCTGCCCCATTCTGTCCCCCCAGCCTGCCCTGAGGGGTCCTACAAGGCCTTGGTTGGGAACACGCCCTGCTTACCATGCCCTCCCCGCAGCCATGCCCCTGATCCTGCAGCCCCTGTTTGCCCCTGCCGTAAGGGCTTCTACAGGGCCAGTTCAGACCCCCCAGAGGCCCCCTGCACCGGTGAGTCCCCCACCAGCCCCAGGGATGGAAATGGGACTGGGGGGCGGACAGAGAAGGGGAGGCTGAAGGCAACACAGTGGGGCAGGTTCACATTTGCAGTGACTTTTCTCCTGTTCATTTTCTCCCTCCACTCTCCGGCTTCTCTCCCTGACCCCATCCACACTGGCCCACCTCCTGCCTCTCTTCCCACTCGCCTCCGCGGCTTTCTGGTCCCCACCCCATGCTCTCCGTCTCCTCCCCTCTGGACCACCCCCCTCCCCTGCCTCCTTCCTTCCTCCATCATCCCCACCCCTCCCCCTTCACCTCCACTCCCACCACTACCTCCTTTCCTGGCCCTTCTCGCTGCCCCCACCGGCTTCCCCAGGCCCTCCATCGGCTCCCCGGGAGCTTTGGTTCGAGGTGCAAGGCTCAGTGCTCATGCTGCACTGGCGCCTGCCTCAGGAGCTGGGGGGACGAGGGGACCTGCTCTTCAATGTCGTGTGCAAGGAATGTGGAGGCCACCAGGAGCCGGGCACGGGCACCGGGGGCACTTGTCACCGCTGCAGGGATGAGGTGCACTTCGACCCCCGCCAGAGGGGCCTGACCGAGAGCCGAGTGTTAGTTGGGGGGCTCCGGGCACATGTGCCCTACATCTTGGAGGTGCAGGCTGTGAATGGGGTGTCAGAGCTCAGCCCCGACCCTCCCCAGGCTGCCGCCATCAATGTCAGCACCAGCCACGCAGGTGAGCCTTCCGCTCTGCCTGATGCCTTACCTTGCCTCCTTAGAAGCCCCTCCCCTACTGCTGCTGCTGCCGGGCCCCTGGAAACCCTCCCACTGACCGCCCCCCCACCCCATCCCAGTTCCCTCTGCAGTCCCTGCGTTGCACCAGGTGAGCCGGGCATCCAACAGCATCACGGTGTCCTGGCCACAGCCAGACCAGACCAACGGGAACATCCTGGACTATCAGCTCCGCTACTACGACCAGGTGGGGAGGTGGGGGCTGCCCAGCAGGGCTGCTGGGAGCTCGCAGTGCCCCACAGTGGGGCTAGAGATGGAGGAGGTGCGCCAGGACGGAGAGGCGCCAGGAAGCCTGAGGGTGATGGAGCAGGGGTCAGGAGCTGGGGTTGGGCAGCTGGGAGTGAATGGCTGTCACCCCCAGGCAGAAGATGAATCCCACTCCTTCACCCTGACCAGCGAGACCAACACGGCCACCGTGACACAGCTGAGCCCTGGCCACATCTATGGCTTCCAAGTGCGGGCGCGGACTGCCGCAGGCCACGGCCCCTATGGCGGCAAGGTCTATTTCCAGACGCTGCCTCAAGGTGAGAGGAAGCCTGGATGAGGTGGGGAAGCGCCGCGGGGTAGGGAGGAGAGGCCCCGCCCCGCCCCCCCCCAAGGCCTTGGACCCTGGTCCAGCACCCGCCAAATTAGAGGCCGTGTGGGACAGGAGGCTGTGAGAAGTCTCCTGGCTGACTAGCTGGCCTTTGGGTCCGTGGGTGGGTGTGAGTGGGCGCACGGGGCGGGGTGGGGTAGGTGCCTGTGCTTGTGAGGCCTTGCCCACGTGTGATCCTGGCTGGCTGCCTCCTCAGGTGAGCTGTCTACCCAGCTCCCAGAGAGACTCTCCTTGGTGATCGGGTCCATCCTGGGGGCCTTGGCCTTCCTCCTGCTGGCGGCCATTACCGTGCTGGCTGTTGTCTTCCGGAGGTGAGGCGCCCCCCAGCCGTGTCCCCACCCCACTCACCCCGCTGCCCCGCCCCACATCCTGGCAGCCCCAAAGCCCATTGCAGAGACCACGTCCAGGGCCCACCTCCCACCACCGGGCCCCTTCCATTGGGCCCATGCGAGGCGGGCAGGAGGCACCCAGCAGCCCTCACTCCACAGATCCCTGGCTGGAGAGTGGCCTGCATAGGGGCCGAAGGGGGGGGTGGGTGGGAGTGTCATTCCAGGACTCTGGTTTGTCCCCAGGAAGCGGCGTGGGACAGGCTACACAGAGCAGCTGCAGCAGTCCAGCAGTCCAGGTGTGGGGGTTGGGGGGGCTGGGGGCTGAGCACAGCAGGAAGCCTAGGTTCCCCGAAGTCTGGGGGAACCCCTCGGCCCTGCCGATGTAAGTAAGAGGGCATGCCTGGGGTGTGGGGGCAGCCTGGCCTCGTACCACATCCTCATCACGCACCCCATTTGCCTACAGGGCTTGGGGTGAAGTATTACATCGACCCTTCCACATACGAGGACCCCTGCCAGGCCATCCGAGAATTTACCAGGGAGGTGGATCCTGCATATATCAAGATCGAGGAGGTCATCGGGGCAGGTGTGCAGGGGTAGAGGAAGGGGACCGGAGGGACTGGAGCCCCCGTGAGACTTCCCCGGCAGGAGCCCCTCTACACAGGGCACGACACCGCGAGCCCAAGGGCCTTCCTCAGTACCCTCCCTCCTACACCTGTTCTCCCAGGCTCCTTTGGAGAAGTACGCAGGGGCCGCCTGCAGCCCCGGGGACGGCGGGAGCAGGCCGTGGCCATCCAGGCCCTGTGGGCTGGAGGTGCTGAGAGCCTACAGATGAACTTTCTGGGCCAGGCTGCAGTGCTGGGCCAGTTCCAGCACCCCAACATCCTGCGGCTGGAGGGCGTGGTCACCAAGAGCCGGCCCCTCATGGTGCTGACGGAGCTCATGGAGCTGGGCCCCCTGGACAGCTTCCTCAGGGTCAGTGCTGGCCTGGAGGGGGCGGGCGGGGCGGGGGGGCCTTGGGTCCAGGGGTGTCTGCAGTTCTCAACTGTCCCGGAGACAGGAGACAGAGCCCTGCATCTGTGCTGCCCCACCTGCGTTGGTCTTCAGCCTTCCTTCCCAGGCCATTTTCTGACTGCCTAAGCCGCTCTCCCTCTCCTGCTGATGTCCACGGCGCAGTGTGCGCAGGCTCCCCGCCCGGCTGCTGGCGGCTGACCTCTGCCCCCCGCCCCGCAGCAGCAGCGGGAGGGCCAGTTCAGCAGCCTGCAGCTGGTGGCCATGCAGCGGGGAGTAGCGGCTGCCATGCAGTACCTGTCCAGCTTCGCCTTCGTGCACCGCGCGCTCTCCGCCCACAGTGTGCTGGTGAATAGCCACCTGGTGTGCAAAGTGGCTCGTCTTGGCCACAGTCCTCAGGTGAGAGCACATCTCGGGGGCTCAGCCTTTTCCAGAGCGTGCCGGCGGATGAGCTAGGCTCCGGGGAGCGTACCACTGGGGGGTGTGTCGTGGTGTCTAAGGGAGTGGAGCCCGCGCGGGCTCCCTCCAGGAGTGCACCCTGGGCGGACGTCGGAGCCCATAGGAATTGCTCAATAAACATGACCACTGCTGTAATTATTGCTCTCGTTCCTTCTAACCCCACGCCTCAGGGCCCAAGTTGCATGCTTCGGTGGGCAGCCCCAGAGGTCATTGCCCACGGAAAACACACCACCTCCAGTGACGTGTGGAGCTTTGGGATAGTGATGTGGGAAGTGATGAGTTATGGAGAGCGGCCCTATTGGGACATGAGTGACCAGGAGGTGAGCTCTTGACCTAGACATTGCTGATACCCCACCCCCATCTTTCCAACCCACCAGCCTCACAAGCTCCTACATTCTTAGCTTTTCTTCTCTGATCCACTGAGATTTTAAGTGGTCTTGGCTTCCGTATTTTTAAGTTCCTTCCCCACTCCGACTGCATGCTCCACCTGATCCCAGCCCACCCGCTGACCTAACAGACAGAATACGCCTTTCCGCCAGCAATAGCTTCCCATCACCATGTTCTTCTACTAACCCCCAGGTGCTAAATGCAATAGAGCAGGAGTTCCGGCTTCCCCCACCTCCAGGCTGTCCTCCTGGACTACATCTGCTTATGCTAGACACTTGGCAGAAGGACCGTACCCAGCGGCCTCATTTTGACCAGCTGGTGGCTGCGTTTGACAAGATGATCCGAAAGCCAGACACTCTGCAGGCTGACGGGGGCCCTGGGGACAGGTCTGGAGATTGGGGCTGGAGCCCGGGACAAGCAGGGAGGGTAGATGCAAACCGTAAAGCAAACTGAGGAGAGGGGGCTGAGATGAAGGGGAAATGTTGACCCCCCCCTTCCCCCACTTAGACCCTCCCAGGCCCTTCTGAACCCTGTGGCTCTGGACTTTCCTTCTCTGGACTCACCCCAGGCCTGGCTTTCGGCCATCGGACTGGAGTGCTACCAAGACAACTTCTCCAAGTTTGGTCTCTGCACCTTCAGTGATGTGGTTCAGCTCAGCCTGGAGTAAGCGGGGAGAGGCGGGTGGGGGTTCCGCTCGGCTCCAGGCTAGGGGTCCTGCCGGGGATCTTAGAGAAGCTGGCGCAGACTTGACCCACTCCTTCCCCACCACCAGAGACCTGCCCGCCCTGGGCATCATGCTGGCTGGCCACCAGAAGAAGCTGTTGCACCATATCCAGCTCCTGCAGCAGCACCTGAGGGAGCTGGGCTCAGTGGAGGTCTGAGGCCTGGGCGGGCAGCTGTGAGTGGACGATGCCTATGTCCCAGCCCCAGACACAGGTCCAAGGAGTGACCGTGCAACACTAGAGCCCGTCTCCATCATGGCCTCGGCAAGAGGAACCCGCCACACTACACCCAACCCTCTGGACACTTCACTCCCTAGTCCTCCGCCCTCCTCCGCCCTCCCCCCCCCCCCCCCCCATTAAAGGGAAAGAAGAAACTTTGCAAGTTGGAGGTGTGGTGAGACCTCAGTCTGCAAGGAAGGGCTGGGAAGGCCTTGGAGGAGGAACGCAGGGCCATTGCCAGCAGGCGACACCACCCAGCTGAAGGCACAAGGGCGCAGAGCAGGGAACGACTTTATTGGAAGGTAGAAGGTGGCAAGGCTCAACCAGCTTCACCCCACCCCCAAAGCGGTACCTGTCCCCCCTCACTCACGCTTTCCACAAGCCTCCCTCCCAACTGTCTGGAGCACCCTGGGAAGGGCTCTCCCCTTCCCACCGGAACACTGGGGTAGAGACGGCAAGCCTGTCCTTAAAGTGCTTTGCTCTGACAGTGCAGAGTACTTCTGTAAGGCCGAAGCGCCACGCAGCCTGGTTCCCCTGCTGGCGCCAGCCCTGTGCACGGGGTGAGGCGAGGGCCACCTCCCTCCTTGGTTTCTGTTCCCCCCAGAGCTGAGCGAGTAGTGGTACCTGGGGCCGTTACTCCCAGCCGGCGTTCCTCAGAGTGCATTCTGCTTCCCCCTGGACCTGGGAGATCAGACCTCTAGGTGTCTTGGTGGTGTCTTCTGATGCCCCCAGGAAAAGGAGAGCAGCCGCCGGGGCAGCGCGCGCTCAGATCTGATATTCCCAGCCTTCCCCATCTTCTAGAGCCCTGTTGGTCAGCCCCCTCAGTTCCCTCCTCAGGGTTCCTTGCCGGAGCCTCTCCCAGTTGGTGCTGCTGTGGGAGGTACTGCGAGACACTGAGGGGGTAGAGAGGGACAGGTGGGGGCTGAAGGGGTGGCCCAGCTGCAGTTTTTCTGAGGCTTTGTCCAAGTCGTCGGAGCCCTGGCTGTGGAAGGCCTGCACATAGCGCCGCACTCGCTGCCGGTTGAGGTCCTGTCTGTCCTCCACCCTGTGGAGCAGGAGGCCATGAGAGGCAGCCGGGGATGGAAGGGCTGGTTCCGAGCCCTGCCTGTGTCCTGCGCTCACCCCCTCCCGCCATGACTGGCCTTTTTCCTCGTGTGCGGCTGGTGTGGGCACAGGGGCTCCAGCCCCTCAGCTGCAGCCCCAAGCACCTCGTGGGGCCCCTACCTTAGCAGCAGGGATCCGGTGTGGGGACCTCAAGTCAACACAGGTCAGTGGGCAAGGGGCCCAGGGAGCTGGCAGCCTGCACAGGGCCCCGGGGAGCGGGAGGTTGTCTGAGCAGAGGGGTGCCCGGCCCTGCACCGGTCACTCACCGTAGAAACCAGCGGTCCCCCAGCCCATACTCGCGCCCGCAGATCCCCGAGCGAGGCCACAGGCAGCGAGGCAGCTTCCGCTCCAGCATCACCGTGGTGGCCACCACCTGCGTGTGGGGGCAGGTGGGGCCGTCAGAGGTTGGGTACAGACAGAGAGAGAGGGGTGGGGACAGGAAAGGGTGCTGGGCAGAGGAAGGACCATTTAGCAATCGCTAGGAAAGGCAGGAGCTCATGGTCTCCAAGAAGGGACAAACGACACCCCCAAGCTGGGGGGAGGGTGGTGGAGTCAGCTTGGTTGACCCTCTTCTGTGGGAGAGAGTCAATGGGACATGAGCCGTGGCCACAATTCTCTGCCCGGCGACCTGACATCCATACTGATCCTTGCAGGAGGTTGAGAGAACTTGCTCCAAGGAGACAGGAAGGAGGGCAAAGCAAACAGAAAGGGATCCTCAAGGCGACAGGATATTTTGACCCTACCGACATAAAGGCTGTTTAAAAATGCTAACATCCTACTGAGAAATCTAATATCAATACATTTGCGTGGAAAACACATTTTCCTGAGGAAACCCCACTTAGCCAATTTAGGGCCTTTTAACTCTGTTTTCTACACAGCACAGCTAGGCACCATTCAATTTAGGGGATTTTCATTTTTAATTCTGCTGAAATTATTTTCTAAAGTATATTTTCAAATGATTTGATTCATTTTGAACGGTCTTCTGTCTCCATCATGATGATCTGACTGAAGATTACTTCTGCTACTCTGGGAAGTTTTTGTAGCATTTTTTTTTAAACCCGTCCAATTTTTCTGGGTCCGACTTTACAGACTAATTTACTAAATGTCCTTTTAGTCACCATTAGCTTTATTTCTTGTTGGTTGATTTCTTGTGGACTCTTCTAGAAAAGCCTGAGGTTTTACTTTTTGAGAAAACTATGAGGATTCTTTTCAGCCATCCAAGTACTGCTCCGTTTTAGTGCCAGTCCAGCGCTTTTGGATACTCTGCATTATTCTGTGTACTGCGCAGCGACCATGTAGACACATGTCGGGTCAAAATATCCTGTTTCTGTGGGAGCTCAGCCCGGTCCCCGGCTGGGAGGGAACCACCTGCAGTAACCCTCCCGGCCGCCAGGGGGCTCACCTGTGCCCTCCAGAGCTCATCTCGCTCGTGGGCCACCCGCCAGTGAGTATCACCCATCATGGCTATGAGGAGGTTGAGCATGAGCAGCGTAGCAATGATGGCGAAGGCAGCGTAGGTGATGCTGTACATGAAGGGCAGATCCACGTCGTAGTTGGCAGGCCCATCGATGACGGTGAGGAACAGCTCGAAGGTGCTGAACAGTGCCATGGGGTAATCGTAGAAGTGGCCCAGCTCGTCGGGGTCCTCTGTCTGGAAGATGATATAGAAGGCTGCTCCACCCAAGGGGATGGAGAGTTACCATGGCAACCATATACGGGACTGGACCACGGCCAGCTCTTTCCTGCCCAGTTCAGTCCCGCTCCCCTCATCTCCGGCCTCCCCATCCAGCCCTCCATGGCTCCGTACTCTGGGTTCTGATATTCCCTTATTTTCAGGATGGCTTATCCTGATCCCAAGACCCCCGTCGCCATAACACTCCCAGCTTTGTCTCCCCTCCGAGGGATGTTCCATCTTCAGACATTACAGCCTTGTATCTTGGCCTTCCCTCCCACCTCCCCCCAGGTTTATCCACAGCCATTCTGCACTCTCGGGGCTCCTCTAACCTCTCCCCGCCGGGGCTCCATCCCAGACAGATGATTTACCTGAGGCAAAGCCCAGGATGACTACGGCCATCAGCCAGCAGAACCGCATCAGGTCGCCAAAAATCATCTAAAGGGAGGAGGAGAAGGAAAATACCTCCACCCGGGTCCCCTGAGCAGTTGCCCCTTGCAGCCTCTCACACGTCTAGCCCCGTGAAGCCCAACAGCTCCACCCTCCAGGGGTTAGACACTATGGCTGCATGCCAGATCCACTTGGCCTGTTTGGGTACGGCCCTCGAACTAAGAATGGTTTTTACATTTTTAAAGCATTGAGAAAACAACAAGGCGGAGGAGAAGGATATGCAGTAGAGACCATATGCGGCTCGCAAAGCCTGCAAATCTGTTATCTGGCCCTTTACGAAAATGTTTCCAGCAGCCCCTGCTCTAGGACCTCTCTCTAGAAAGCTTGGGGGGAGGCACAGACCTTCTGGATCATGATGGTGAAAGGGCCCAACATCTGGAATCCTCGGGCGAAGTACATGACATTGCACCAGCCCAGCACCAGCGCGAAGGACATGGGCACCACCTCCCCATTGGCGTTCGTGAGCCGCATCACCATGGTCACCAGCACCATGCAGGCATAGGTGATGCTGGGGGTGGGGAGCAGAGGGGGGTGTGAGAGGACACTGGGATTATCTTGGGGGACGTAAGAGCAAGAGCGACTGAGGGAGGCACCACCCACACACTCAGATTTGGCCTTCGCAAGTTCAATAACACAGGGCAACACACATCGCTGGAGAAGGCTCTCTGGACTTAATTTTCTCCAGGGATTGTCCAAGGGGTCAGGAATCCGAGGAGTGAGGCAAGGGATCGGGGGAGAGAAAGGAGACTCACATGAGGACGTGAAATGGCCCCCCAAGGATGGTCTGTCCAAAGAAGCGAGTGACCCCCACCCTGAAGATGTCTGGAATCTGGAGAGGGGCCAAGAAGACACTAAGGTACTTGCAGCCTGGGGCTCAGGCTGGATCCCTGGGGCAAGCAGCCTCATCCTAGATCCTGCCCACACCTCACCTCTGCAAGCAGAATGATCACAGCTCCGATGACGGTCACCAGCTCCCCCACCAGGCGGATGTCATCCTTGCGGGTCACGTAGGCCTCCTGAGAGGGAAACACGGTCAGAACACTCAGGGCTTCCATACATCTGCCCTGCCTGCCTCTGGGCACAAGTCGGTGTCCAGTGTGTAGGGTCACTGGTCCTGTCAGATTCTTCATAACCTGTTAGGTTTGGCTATCTCAGACTCTGCTCTTTGAGCGCAGGTGTGTTTCCACCTGTATGTTGAGTCTGTGCCTAAGTATTTGGGAGCTGGGCATGGGGAGAAATGGGGGTTGTCAAACAGGAACGTGACGCAGGTCTGAGAAAGGGCAGAGGGCTGACGCCTGCCCTGAAGCTCTGCTGCTCCTCGGACGTCACCTGAAGCAGCTTCTGCTGTAGGATGGTGTTGTCCCGGGGACTGGTGTGGTTACTGGTCCTGGGCTTGAGTGGGCGGTAGATGCAGCACATGGTGAAGCAGATGATGTACAGCAGGTAGATGGCGCCCAGCATGCAGAAGTATGGCCGCCCGTATCTCTTCCACTTGAGGCTCACCAGCTCTTTCACTGGTGTCTGGTCGAGGATCTGGCGGGCCTTCAGCGGAAAGGAAAGAGAGCAAGCAGCTCAGAGACCCCGACTTCCCTCCCTGGCTGCTTTCCCACCCAACCACCCATACCTCCCGCTTCTTGGTGGTGATGATAAGTTCCAGCAGAGACTGCTCATCCCCCGAGGAGTCGATCTCCGTGAGGTCGTAGAGAGTGGACGTCAGCGGCCCGTACGTCCACTGGATGTGCTTCCGCTTCTGCATCAGGTGCTGGAACATCTGGGAGGACACAGCGGGGAGTCCGAGCGTCAGTGGGAGAAGCAGCCGCGGGAACCACGCCACCCAAGGGGGCTGCTGCCCGCTCCTCGGCACTAACGGGCAGTCAGCGATCCCCACGCCTCTGTTGCATGAACCCCCTT